AAACCTGTGGCTGTGGCTGTATCTCAATGATAAAGTGACCCTGAATACAATCACAATTCCCAGTAACCCAAAAGTAAAAATAAATGTTATACTATGGTCATGTAATTTGTTCCCTCTTGTGTACTTGAATAAAATTTTCATTTCATGTAAACAAGACTGTTATTGATAAGATATCTGAAAAAGATCAGAGATAGGGTTGTGGAAAACCTGAGGCCAACACCAAACCCGACCATGATRGCTACTGGGACTATGAAAGTTTATTCCTCTCCTCAAACCACGTCCTGTGAGCACCAGAGAGGCTTTGTCATGGAAAGCTGACTCATAGGAGAAATGGAGGTCCTATTCAGATCAACCATGGTGATGCCTGTGACATGCACAAATAGGTATTTGAGGAAAGTTGAGAAAGTTCTAAGGCCCCCTGGAACCCAGGAGTGTATCAGTCAGCTTTCACTTACTGTGACAAAATTCCTCACATCATCAACTTCCAAAGAGAGAAAGTTTATTTTGGCTYATGTTTTTAACTGATCTCCATCTGYGGTTGGTTGCCCAAATGCTCTTGGATGTATGGCCAGGAAGTCATCATGGTGGGGAGGAGAAGAAGAGGTGAAGTCATTCCCCTCATGGCCAGGAACAATGAGAGGAAGAAGAGGGGCTGGGTCCCAATATCCCCTTCAAGAGCAGGTCTCAGTGAAAGGAAGAACCCCCACAAGACCCACCTCTTAGAGTTTCCACCCCCTCCCAAGAGTGCTAAGCCTGGGACTAAGTCTCTAGCACATGGCATTTAGGGACAAATTGTAGTTTGGAGCTTGGAGTGGGGGAGAGATGGCACTCTTTACAAATTGACTGTGGTTGGGAAGTTACTAAAATGAATATGTTTATCAAAGCTCACAGAAATCTACACCAAGAACAGTGAATCTGACCCTATGTAAATTTTACCTGAAAAGAAAAAATACAAAAACAGAAAGCCAGGTGTCGGGGACTCTGCTTGTCGTCAGCCCCATTTACTCAGGATGCAGAGGCAAGAGGTTCACTTGAGGCCACAGTTTTGAGACCTGCCTGGACAATGCAGTGACACCCCTTATCAAAAGAGAGAGGACTGGGGATGTGGCTCAAGTGGTAGTGCACTGGCCTGGCATGCATGAGGCCCTGGGTTTGATCCTCAGCACCACATAAAAATAAAGACATTGTGTCCACCTAATACTAAAAAAATAAATATTAAAAAATAAATTACAACCTTAGATCTTTGAGAGAGAGAGAGAGAGAGAGAGAGAGAGAAAGAGAGAGAGGAGAATATAAAAGGAAGGACTGGGAGTGTAGCTCAGTGTGAGAGTCCTTGCCTAGCACCAGTGAGACCCTGGGTTCCATCCACAGCATCACACAAAAGAAAAGAAGAAATAGAAAAAGACCTGACCACAACGAATGGGGCAAGTCATGTCATCCAAAGAAAAAGCCAAAGAAATACAGGGGACAAATGTTGATATTCGGCAAAACATAATCAAGGAGWAAGATCATTAGGGACATGTGATTGTTACATGCAGGTAAAAACAACAACACATCAAAAAGATACTATGAGCACRTCTGTATTTAGCAATGTGCCTGAAAATACAGATCAAGCAACAACTGAGAGAACAATGACAAAGAAAGGGAAAACTGCTTTTTTTGGTTGCTRTTGCTGTTGCTGAGGACAAACCCCAAGTTTCACGCAGTCTCAGCAGCTGCTCTCCACTGAGCAGCTGCCCCACCACCAGCCAATAATTTATTTGGAGTGTTTCAACATATACTCGCAAACATCAATTTGATGAAATGAGCAAAGATATACAAGACTTTAATAACACCATTTAAAACTTTGAACTAACAAATATCTAGAAAACATACCGAAAAGCCAGACAATCTGTGAGTTGGGATGAGAGACACATGAAATACAAAAATACAACCATGGACAAGCCACCAAAGAAGTCAATTGGTACAGAATCGACACTGTACAGATGATGTTCTCTAATCTCAACGCTTAAAATTAAAGATGACAAAAGAAGAAAAGGCTCATGTGGCCACACTCTATACAACTATTACAAAGAGCCCTTGGGTGAGCATGGTGATCTTCAGGTTATCACCAGCCACTAGGAACTCAGAACCTGGGGGAGGAAAACCCTGAAGGTCAAAGGAGGAAAGCAGGACGCAGAGGAAAGCATACAGCTTTAGGTATGTAAGGGAAAGCAAGAAGTGCTTCTTTGATCCTTCTGTGCTGGGGAGGGGACCAGGCCTGGTGTATGCAGACCCTCTCCCACTGAGCTCCACCCCCAGAC